TGCACACAGCAAAGGGACCTGGGAAACTGTAAGGCTTACCCTTGCATACAGCAAAAGGGACCTGGTAAACTGTAAGGCTTACCTTGCACACAGCAAAGGGACCTGGGAAACTGTAAGGCTTACCCTTGCACACAGCAAAGGGACCTGGTAAACTGTAAGGCTTACCTTCGCACACAGCAAAGAGACCTGGGAAACTGTAAGGCTTACCCTTGCACACAGCAAAGTGACCTGGTAAACTGTAAGGCTTACCTTCGCACACAGCAAAGGGACCTGATATACTTCCTTCAATCGTACCCCAAATGACAAAATAAACATGTATGCATTAGAGTAAAAACAGTAATTAATCCATTAAATATGGAAATGTTCCATATTTAGAAATCATGTACCAAAAATACTATAACTATAAACCATATAAAAGTTATACGGTAAATCAGACATTTAATAAACATTATTCAAAATACCGGATATTTCCTCATAAAGTATATTATATTCTCATAATATAAATCAGTTCGGATATATAGTTTATAACTGTAAGATAACACTGGTAGGGAAACACACCTGTAACAGTCTGAGAAATCAAATAGGGAAGCTTATTACTGGTTTTGTCGATCACGCTCTGCTGCAGCCCTAGATCGGGTAGTTCTTGTAATACGCGGTTCGGAATGATCTGAAGAACGGACAACACCGGACCTGACTGATCCTTGCTCAGGTGAAACACGAGTACCTTCATAAAATATCTTACTTAATCAATTCCTTAACCATATCTCAAATAAATAATCAAAATACTAAAATACTAAGCCTTTTTGGGTTCACAAGCTTGATTCGGGAATTTCGGGTCAGAAATTGGCAAAACAAACTTCGGAATCAAATTCAGGACGTCGAAAAACATAAAGTATGACCTTTCGAAATTTCAAATTCTTGGTCAAAATTAAAGTCAACAGGTTTGACTGACGATTTGGAGATTTTCGGGTTTGAATTTAGCAAAAAAAACCTCAAAAACAGATTCGGACGTCGAAAACTGTCAGGATAAGTATTTTCGAAAAAGATTAACGGTCGTTTAATAGTCGGTCAAAGCCGGTCAAAATTTTGGTGAAAGGAGGTCACAAATTGTCAAATATTTTACATAAATAGCACCTTTTTTTTAAATAATTACCAAAATAGCACTATTTTCAAATTAATTCCCAAAATAGCACCAATTTCGGATTAATTCCCATAATATCACCTTTTTCGAACAAAATTACCAAAATAGCACATATTTCGAATAATTTCCAGAATAGCACTAAAACCGAATTAATTCCCAGATAACACCGGTCAACGGTCAACGACCGGGTCAACGGGTAGGGTAGGGGGGGTCGTCGGGTCGGTCAACGGGTCGGGTCATGACCGGTCAAAACCGGTTTTAACCGGTTAAACCGGTTTCCAGATTTCACTCGCCCTACGGCGGCCCGTGTGGCGCGTGCAACGTCCTCCGGGGCTCTAAAAATCACGGAAAATTTTTTAAAAATTATTTTGAGCTATTTCGAAATACTTACAAAGATCGGTTCAAATTTTTGAACGGCGGAGAGCTCGATTTCGACTCGGCCGAATCTTTGACTGATCCACCTCCCCACGCGCCGCCGTCGACGGAGACCGATGATGACACCGGCGGACTCGGAACGGCACAATGAACACGATGGTGCGGGAGGTGTCGTAAACGGAGCAACGATCGGCGATGAATTTAGGATTTTATAGGCGATTGAGCTAAAAAAAATGTCGATACTTTGACTTGAAATTCACGACGTTTGGCAGCGTTTTGCTTCAATTAAATTGAGGGGATTGTTCTCAATTCGATAACGAATATGATGGTGCTTTCAAAACGGCGATCGAAATTCGGACGACGTCGGGATCGTCGTCGGAAGTGAAGGTTGGGAGAGGGAAATTTGGGAGGAATTGGTTTCTGATTTTCAGAAACCAATTCACGTATATAACAACCAATACTATATTTTAGGGTAAATTCAGGGCTTGGTCTCTGAATTTTCCTTTAACTCTAAAACAAGCTACAAGTTTAAAGAACTTCTAATTTAGTCCCCAAATTTCACCAATTTTCATAATTAACCTCAAATTTCAATTAAACATTATTTTGTAATTTTTTTTGGGTGGTTACATGATGTGTTATGCAGGTACCTATACAAGTGAACAAGTACTTGGCATACAGTGATGGTATGCGCGTAATTGGATCTGGGAAGCTGTCAACGCAGTCTCCAGCTTCAGGTGGCCTATTATTCACCGAACTGGATCGGTTAGTCTTGAAACCCTTTAGGAGATTGCTTTTGCTCCTTTATTGAGAGAGTAGAAACATGTTAAAAGTTGCATCTGCAGGAGATTCTTGTTTCTGAATTTCCAGACCTAGAACGTAATTCATTTATGGTTTAGGCCAAGTGGTCAGTATTGTCTCGATACGGAGGAGTTCAACATTGTCTGTGACTTAAACAGCGCTATTAGTCAGGAGCGCTACAAGGATGCTGGTACGTCCCTCACTTTCCCCTTCATTGACTGTCAAAACATCACTCTTATCTATTTAGTTGTGATCCAAAATCAACTGAACTTCATTTGTTGACTGATGTTTAACATATTTAAGATTCTAATACTACCTTACAGCTGACTTAAGAGACAAACTTGGCGAGTTTCGTGCTCAAAGGCACATGAAGAAATATACATAACAGGTGATGTTAATAACTTGATTAGGATGTATCTTTAAGGTGTGATTGTGTTCATATATCAGTCTCCAGCTCCGGCCAATCAAAACGTTAACAAACCATTAGTTTTGTCTCAGTTGTTGCATCAGCAACATCAAATGTAAATAGGAATTATTGTTGGAAGCTGATAAACTTGGTGGTGTGACATATGGCGGCGAGGCAATCAGATTAGATCAGTTATATTATGGTATCTTCTGCTAAATATGTATGTAATGCAAGTCTGTGAATAAATATGCACATATACATAAGAAAACGGGGATGTGATATGTTTCAATTAAGCACGTTGATTTATGCCTTATCAATTCATCATATATGGAACATCTGATTCATCATATATTTATTCTGAATTTGTTACATAGAATAATTAGAACATCGAACTAAATTGTGTTTAAATATACAGTATCCGACGACATTCATGTTTCTTTTATAAGAAAAGAAACCTTTGAAGCTATAATTATGATTATAAACAATACATCTGTATGATTATGACCAGAATCAATCAATATACTGCAAAAGAATGCAACTAAATCAATACATTCATATAATTATACGACCAGAATCAAAAGATTAATAATCGGAATATATTCAGAACTAGATCAGAATAACTCTAGACAATTTAGAATGTTATAACACTGGCCGGTTTAGAATATAATAGGAAAAATGCTATATGCTTATGATCCAACTACTACAAAGAAAATTGGAATATGTAAGATCTTAATCACAGAATGGAACCATAATTATAAAGATATCCTCCACAACATACCATCATCCTCTACCATGTCTTTGGAGGTTAAATGACAACATCTTCAGGTCCATGCTTCTCTTACTTCCCATCACTTGCAGCCCTAAACTTTAAAATGATGCGTGTTTTCAGAAGTCTCTGAACTTCAATGATCTTAACCAGGCCAACTCCTTTGGTCACAGTTACTGTAATTTTGGCTGGGTCATAGATGATACGAACTATATTTACCTTGTACCGGGAACTTCAGACCGAGCAGCTTTACTGACAGGATAGTAGAGTAGTAACAACATGACTTGAGAGTTCTCATTCAATGACCTTGAAACAGTTGTATGGAACACAAATATAGCAGTTCATCTGGCTCACACCTCTTCCAATAACTCAAACTCCAAGTCATTAAGGAACATCCTTTCTATTGCTAAAATTGAAATCAACTATACATGCCATCGTGGAGAAGCGGTGAGAGCGAGTTCAAATACAAACTCGGTGGTTGTTCGGAGCTGAATGGGCAAAACTCAGACTTGTACTATTCATTTACGTCCTCCCAAGCCTTCAAACTTTAAACTATACAATTACGGTACGAGCAAGCCTTCACAACAGTCCCTAAACGAGGGAATTCTTAAGGACAATTAGCTTTGGTTGAGATGGACATTCAGCAACTAATGCAAAAGTTTTACTTCTAAACTAATGAAGCTGGGACCTGAAGTGCGAATTGTTTTATCCTACTAAAAAATTTGTGGCTTTAGGGTATGATGTTGAAATATTCCTTTCCTGTTACCATAGCGAAATAAAAAAGCACAGGTGGTTGTTAGGCTGGTACTGGCCTAGAAGTTTGAGTTGTCTTCACCCGCAAGGCCAAGTTTAAGGGCATGACTCAAGGGTAGTCTAGGAATTCCTCAGAATGGGGGCTGAAAGCTAATAAACAATCTGAGAAGCGTTGAAATGTTGTTCTCAAAAGAAAGCCTGGAATCAACTGAACAATAATAAACATTTAAGAATTGAACAAATACCTGGCAAACCAAAAATGTGTGGAAATTGCCGACATAGAACTCTAGGAACCCCCCCCCCCCCTCCAATTGTCCATTTGGAAAAAAGGTCTACAAAAGCTAATAATTTCAGTTAGCATAAACTTCAAATTAAGAATCAGAATTATTTTCACATATCCCAAAACATAGCAGTGTTTTCATCAAGTGGTCATTTCTGCAAATCATTTGCCTTTCTATTTATAGGCTTGTAGCTGAAGAGACCATGGACCATGTTAGGGACCATACTAAACACGCGCTGAAGTCTGAAGATATCAGTCAAAAACAAAAAGACAACAGTACTTCTACAGTGCAGAACGAAGTACACTGAAAATGAATGTAAACTGAAAATCAAGCTCCCCTTCACATATTTTAATTTCCTTTCAATCATAACTCCAGCTGTTTCTATTAGAAAAAAAGAATGGAATTCACAATTACACTTTCAAAATATATATATATATATATATATATATATATATATATATATATATATATATATATTGCTTTGATTAGCTTCTAAGGAAGAGTGCATTTAAGATAAGTCTGCTAATAACTTCAGCTTTCACCACCAAAATCCATCAAAGTTTAACTAAAAACAGCAATTTTAACATCAAGCTGTATGAATTAATTGGCTGTGTGGCCTCATGATTATTGGCAGTGAGTAGTTGACAGTTGATACATCGTTTCCCTGTTAGCCCAAACCTTGCAGTCTGTCATTTTCTCTTTTTCTCCTGTAAAGCTCCCACAGGCAATGGAATGTTAACCAGCACTCCTGAAACCAGATGATGCGCATGTATGGTAAGCATTACATCTATTGATTATATTTAATAATTTAAACAAAAGATGCAGCAATAAAGTAGTTTCTCAAAGGGAAATCCAAAAGTTCCAAAATGGGGTGAAGGAAGAACATGAGCCTAAAGATGAGTAATTCTCATCTTCACTTACAACTTTACTTTACAACAACAGTTTAGGAAACATATAAAAAATAATTGCACTTACCAGTACAATCTTCGGTAAAACAAACTGTCTTTTAAGTTTTAAGGAACATCTTTTATCTCAATACTTATTCATATGTGTCTTTCTAGCAGCTTTCTCTGTTTTATGCTCAGTTTTTGCCCTATGACAATAGCAGTTAACAATCTTCTTATCTAACTTGTAATAGTCCTCCCATTTTCTTCAAAGGTTTCAAATCCAGATCAATGAAATACACCTTAAAATTTGCAGCTTAAATAAGATATACATGTAAATAAGAAGAAAGCAATAAACCTTGTCATAGAGAACTTCGATTTCATCCCAAAAGAACTTCCTTATTACATTAAAACAGGGATATGATATTTTTTTCTAGGTTTGTTACAAACGCTATGGTTCGAACCCTGACTTTGCTTAAGGAATATAGTGCCTCATCCAACTAAACCAACTAGTTGTTGGAATAATTTTTCTTAATTTATTGACAGCACACACTTACCTTGCAGATACAATTACTTGAACCCGAGTTCTCTAAGAAAAACATCATTTCCTTTATTACCAAGATCACTCATTGAATTTAAAATTAAATTTCAGACCACCGTAAAAGGTACGATATTTAATTACTTAATCAAATTATGTATTATATTTCTAATCAAACTAATATTTTACCAAAATTGTGATTAAATTTTTTATACATCTGGAGATACTCATTTGTAACAAATATCTACATGATCAAATAACTTATCCGTCATCGACTTTGCAGTATCCGATCTGGATTAGTCGGTCAATAGATCGATACCAATGATTAATTCAAAAAAAATAACTTATTCGCCTATAAAGTCGCCAGAGGAACTCTTTCATAAGATGTTCAACCATAAATCTTTGACAAGACTATTGGCATGCTCAAGAGACCCGTCAACATTAAATCTATTGTCAGACGATCATATTTATACACTACTGGTTTACGAATAACAATCATGATCTTATGATTGACACCAATACATACAAGTGGTCAGTATATGAAGTATAAACCTCTTTATCAAGAAAGAGATGATACTTTCTTATTCTGAGTTTTCTCATCCTTTTTCTCTCTCAAATCTTTTATTCACCGCCTTCACAATCGACTATAACTCTTTGTCCAAACTAAAAAGAGCAAATCTCTTACCGCCATCATAATCTATTTGTTCGATCAACAATTGACATAATCTATTTGTTTCCATCAATAATTGATATGATGAATGCGGAGCACTTCTGACCTTATAGAATCAACCACGATGAACCCCAGGAGCCATCTTAGGACAACCGATCCACCTTGCCATCTTCATCTCAGATTACGTCTTACACATCTAGCTCCACTGACCAATAGCAACAAAACACATACGGTCCAAAATACTATGGATCGTACCAAACCTATTATGGTGCTGACCAATCCAATCACCATTTTTTCCAACAACACTACTAACAATACATATACCCCTGGACCAAAACCCTTACATTCCATGGCCTGAAAGCTGAGTTGAGGAGTTTGGAAACACAATTTCAAGCTTCTCCAGGAGGCTCACCTACAACTGTAACATTAGAATCACAATAAACAAGAATTAATCCAAAAATCTCTTTAAGAACTGTTGATCTTCCAATAGTAAAAGAATGAACATCGAGGAGAAGAGGATGAAGGAACTTCCAATGCTAAACAAAGACGTCAACAAGAGCAAATAATTGCTGCTCTGGGCACCTCAGAAGACATAGCTAATGTTAAAATAGACTTCAATATAAAGAAATTGAAAAAGCAGTTTCCTGGGCAATTAAAGAGTCCATATCATATAGAGGTGTCGTGAAATGATCTTCCCTAATAGAGTGACTCCTTACATTCTAGTGAGCTATCAATTACTGAGTTCGTCTATTTTCTTATCAACGAAATTCTTACCTCTCGTTTATTCGCAGATAAAGTAGTTTGAAGACTTTGACATCATTGATATAAACTTTAAATATTATAATAAATTCCGTACAGTTTATCCACAAATTAAAAACATTGACTTCGGATATAAATGTTTTTGCAAACTTAAAAGCCTAAGCATATACACCGACCGACTAAATAACATTATTTATTTATCAACAATTTATATATTTATGGATATTGATAATGTTACTTTGGCTCCTTCTCCCTCTCTTTCTCTTTCAGGTACAAAAAATTAATAAAAATTTGCACCAAAAGTTGAGGCCAGCCATTTTTTCCCTCTCTCATATCAAGATTTCTTAAGTTAAAGTTCTCCAGTCTAAGAAAGCTTAGTACCTTGTCGATCATCTCATTTAAAACAAAGCCTAACATATACCAACATCAACAAGCCTTTAATTAAAGTCATCTGTTTTATTTTGATTTTTGATTGCCACTGTCAGGTGCATTGAATAATGAATCCAAAATTCAACCCAACATGTCTTCACCTGTCATTTTCTTATTAGAGGGTTATTTTTTGTTTTATCATTTATTTATTCAATAATTAACATTTTAATTAAATTCGACATTATCAATTAACTGAATATTAATTTAACTGTAAATTTGGAATAACATTACAAGAAAATAGCAATTCCAGCAGCAACAATAATATCCAAACCCCATCATAAACAGATTCAATCAAACCCAGAAATCAAGAGAAATATTTTTTGTTCAATCAAAACCAAAGGCCGGAGAGTGATGGCATCCAAGGTGGATATTCTTCTAACTTTTTCCATTGACTGTTGTCTCAATAGAAATAGGGGTGCAACCATTGACAACCTGGTCAGTGGAGGCAGGACCACTTGGGTTAATAGGAGCTGGAATCAACCCCTTTGCTCGACATGTCTCGACAGCTCCTACAAACATGTCCTCCAGACTGTACTTAAACTGGAAACCCAAGTCCTGCAACTTTTTTGAACTAAAGTTTACGTTTCCTAGGTTTTCATCTGCATCTTTGAACCTGAGCATGCACCAATACCATTTATATAATTAGCCATCCCAAGGAAGAAAAGTGGTAAAATTGAAGATTTTTCGTTATATTTGGCTTACTTAGTAGGAATATTGTACTCTGGGTATTTTTCTCTTAGCATATTGGCGAGTTCAACAATGGTAGCAGCATGGGAGGAGCATATGTATCTGCCCTCAGCTTTAGGGTTTTCGAACAAGAATAGTGAGACATGCAGAGATCATCCAAGTGAACGAACTGCCCTTGCCTAATGATCGAGTAATGGCTTCATTCCCTGCATTACGTAAGCTATAGAATAATTAATATATAATCCTTCTTCTAACGACTGAGGAGGGTAAATTTATTTTCATCAACAATATGTAAGACAATGTTAGAGCCGAAGTGCGTACCAGTAATTGGTGAAAGGCCTGTAATCAGGCTAGGTGGCATTGATGGCATAAGATATGGACCAATGACGAGAGTTGGGATTATAGAGATGAAATCCAAGTTATTCTCCTTTGCAAACTTCCAAGCAGCTTGCTCAGCCAAAGTTTTGGAGACAAAATACATCTGAAAACCATAAAGAAAGGGACGTTGAAAAAATGTTTTTGGAAAGAAAAATAAACAAGTTAAATATGGTAAAAAAAAAACAAACCCATCCCGTCATTTCTTGGCGTAGACAAATTCCAAATCGCTCCAATTACTTTCATCGTAAAGGGGTTTTTGGTGGTGTTCAACATTGACAGTTCCGGCGGATGATGTGAAGACCAACTTTTAACTGTTTTTGCTTTGAGGCATGCTTTCATTATGTCCAAAACTCCATTTATGGTTGGCTTTATCACTTTATCTGCAAAAATCTCAAATAATAAAATTACTCTGAGAAAAACTTGTTTTTTTTGCAGTTAAAAAACTTTGCACCCTTTTTACGATGATGTTGATTAGCATGGCCAAACCCATATTTGCACAAAAATAGAAAGAAAGAAAGTTATCATCTTTTTAACTTTTTTCATGCACCTTGATTTCCCTATTTGTTGATTCCATATTGCATACATACATACATACATACATTATGTATTATAAACAACTGATAAAAGAATAAACCTCAGGATCCTTGGATTCAAAATCCATTGGAGTGGCAACATGGAACACTCCAAAACAGCCATTAATGGCTGCATCAAAGCTTCCCTCTTCAGATAAATCAGCTTTCCACAAAGTCAAGTGGGAGTTGGCTTTTGGCAGATCAAGCAAATGCTTCACACCTTCTTCACGTTATCTGTTAATATATAAAGAGAGGGGAAAAAAAAAGAATTTCAGGGCAAAAAAATATAAATTTAAAACATGAACATGAATTATGGGGAAAGAAGGAAACGAACTGGGGTCACGGACGGTGGCTCGAAAGTATAACCATGTTCGAGGAGCCTCATGACGAGCCCATGATCCAATGAAGCCGGATGCTCCAGTGACACAAACGGTTTTAGAATCCGACCCCATATCTTTCTAAGGATGAAATGGACAAATTAGGATTTGATTTTATCTTAAAACAACTCCTGTTCTCCTTGTATGTTGTAGTAAAGTTTGAGGGTGATAACCTATATATAAGATTTGGACATATGCATGCAGGTATAATAAAAGTCTCAATGATATGGATTAGAAGGAGAGGACTTTAAAATTCCATTTACAAATTGACGTGTAGATCCACCTAACAATGCTCTCCCAACAATTTAGTTAAACGCACGTGGTTATCTAACCGTTCCGCACGAGCCTGGTAAGTTGGTAACCATTTTTTTGTCGCATCATCTATATCAAAACTTTGTAAGACCCCTTCACTCACTGAAATTGTCACACCACAAAACAGGTTTACCATCCGGAACCACATGCAACTCCTTTAACAGGAACTCAAGCCACATTACTTTAGCAGTAGCACAAGCTACCTCCTATATTCAACTTCAGCAGATCAAGAGATAATTTGCAAGACACAAGATTGTCCCAAAAAAATGCAAAACCCAATAGTTGATTGGTGATAATCAACATATAAACCCCAATCAGCATCAATAAACCCTATAATAGAAAATCGACTATTGTTAAAATCGTACCCTGAAGATACTTCAAAATCCGCTTAACAGTATGAAAGTCTCATCAAGAGGTATCTGTAAAAACTGACAGACACGATTA